GGTCGACTCAGGACCCTACTGAAGTAGGCCACCACATGTTAATTTTCACCAACTTTCTGAGACAACACTCGTCCAATCCCGACATAACTAGCATCATAATCCAATATGTATGGCAGTGAGGGATCTGAAAGCTTTAAAAGTGGAGTGGAAGTCAATTTTTCTTTCATTGTCTTGAAAGCATACTGGCAAGAAACTGTCCATTCAAACTTCTGGCCTTTTTTGGTCAAATCATGTAGTGGAGCAGCTATAGTTGCAAAGTCCTTCACAAACTTTCGGTAACAAGTACAGAGTCCCAAGAATCTTCTTAACTCTCCCACATTGTTTGGTGTTGGCCAATCACGCACTGCTTTCACCTTGTCAGGATCAGTTTGCACACCATGCTCACTTACAATGTGACCTAAGTGAAGCACCTTTTCTCTGGAACAAGTGGCATTTCTTGGGATGGAGTTTGACGTTTGCTGCTTTTGGACACTTGAATACTTCCTCTAGCCGGGATATTTCCACATCAAAAGTTGTTGCAAATACAAAAAAATCATCCAGGTACACTAGGGCTATTCTCCATTGTAGGCCTTCCAGTATTCTTTCCATCAGCCTCTCAAATGTTGCTAAGCCCGAATGGCCATAACTAAATGCAGTCTTAAGTTTATCTTCTTCAGCCATTTTTACATGATGGAAACCTGACTTTAAGTCTAGAGTTGAAACCCACCTGTCTCCATTTAGGGTATCAAGAGTATCATCAATTCTTGACAATAGATGTGAGTCTTTTTCGTTATACTGTTAAGAGCTCTGAAGTCCACACAGCAACGTTGGGTCCCATCCTTCTTCTGGACTAACACGACGGGAGCTGACCAGGAACTATCCAATTTTTCGACTTTGCCAGAGCTATTCTTCTTGGAGGGATTTTTATTGGATGGTGATTGCCTGTGTTTATTCTGTGCTCCACAAGTTCTGTGCAGCCGAGGTCATAATCTCCTTCCGAAAAGACGTCTGCATAATTCGCCAAAAGTTCCTTAACCTGAAGAGCCTGTGATGGACAAATGGACAGTGCTCTTCTTATAGAGGCCATTTAAATGTTCTGGGAGTGTATGTCCTTTCTTTATGGTCGTATGTCTTGCTTTAACATTGACTGGCTCTACCTCCTAGCACACACCCAACAATGCCCCTTCCTTAAGTGTCTGCTCACATTGAGAGAAATTGGCCACTGTTATAGGTATTACTTGATGACCTGCCACAAGTGACTTTCCAATCTTCAAATGCGCTGGCCTGTATGGGTCTTCCACTGCTTCCACAAGCATTGGGCTTCCTTGGGGATGTTCTTTTATTCTACCCTAAATTATCTTCTCTGACATAGGGGTATTGTAGTTGACTTCAGTGCTGTGACATGCAAATCAACAGAAGCAGCACTACTTACTGGAATTCGGCCTTTGTTGTTTCCAATCATCATTTTATCGAAGTTAACTACACTCTTTCTTGGTATTAAATAGT